ACAAAGGGCAGGGCTTGAGAGTTTCTTGGAAGTGTCCAGGCCGAAGGACGCCCGAGCTCGACGAAGGGCGCGAGCCCGCCTGAAAAGTCCGTCCCGCCGCGACGACGACGGAACGATGGTGATGTCCCAAGCCGGCGGCACGGCCGGCGGCTCCGCCGCCGGCACCGTCGGCGTCGTCCACGGCAAATTGAATCCCGCCGAGTCCTCCGCAGGCCGATCGGCGCGAGACAACCGTCCACTGCTGTCCGCGATCGCGATACCTCGCGGACAATCTCGGCCCTCTTCCGAACCGTCCACCACGCGCCTCTCCCATCGCAGCAACGGCGAGTCGCGTGACGCCAGATGCAAGACGGTCTCCCACACTTGTCGAGACTTGACGCCCCGCGACCTCCCGTCGGTTTCGCCGTTTTCCCTCAGCGGCGCTCAACCGAGGAAGTTCGGAGGGTACCGTCCACCCTCCGGTGTAATTCTGAAGAATCTCAGCTCCGGCAGCGAGTCGGAGTCCGCGAATGAGACGAGTCACGGACTTCCCCGCACCGGAACGATCGCCATGTTGGAATTATCCTCGCCGGCATCCACGGCCGTCAACTCATCCGCCAACGGACCCGTCAAGAAGATGCCTATTATGTCCGCGAGGGACGACATTGCCGGGTCAATACTGCCGAATCTTCTGCCCTCGTCGCGCTCGCTCGACAACGACGGTCTCAATCGCCGGATCGCCCGAAGCGCTTCGCGAAGTTACACTGGCCCGGTAAATCGCGACGGCACGAGAACTTGTGACGAGCCGGGAGGAGCAAATACACCGGTAAAAGCGATTTTTAACGAGCGAGCGAGTCAGGACTGGTTTGCGGCGCAAACTTGCGGCGAACTTCGGCAAGACGAGCCGGAATACGAAGACACGCGCCATCAGCGGCAAGAGATACCGCGAGCTACGTCGACTTTCCTCGCGGCAAGTTTTACGTCGGCGGAACTTGCCACGAGTACTTGCGACGAACAAGTGATTCATAACGAGCCTGCGACGGAAGCTTACGATGAATTCAAACTGGTCGGCTCGGAATTCGAAGGCGAGGGAGAACAAGTGCGAGATTATCAGTGTATCGGGTCGCAAATGCACCACGACGTTCAGGCTCGGTTCGAGTTTAATTGTCCGTCAGGCCGGTCCAACTTCGATGCGGATCCATTAGGCAACAACGGGGTTGTTCCCGATGATGCGCAATGGCACCGATCGGCGAGTCTTTACGCGCGCGATGCCGTCGATGCGTCGCGTTTTATCGAAACAATTCGAAGTGACGTCGCGGAAGGAGCCTTGTCGTCCTCGGAGCCGTACGGGAGCGAGGATCACAGTCGGTCGTCCTGCGCGGCGAACATGTACCCGTGGAAGGAGGCGCCGGACAAATGCGATCGCGAAAGTATAACGAAAGTTCCCACGCTCGCGCTAAACTCGCAGGACATCTCGTACTCGACGTCGGCGGGCAGTCGCGAGTGTTCCGCTACGCGGGCCCTCGATCCCCACGCGCTGATCCGAGCCTTATCGGACGTATCTCTGAAGCAGGAGAAACGGGGCGAGGACGCGTCGAGGAGGTGCAAGGACACGGGCGGAGCCTCGGATTTTCCCACGAAGGGCGAAACGTGGCGCGTACCGACGCCCTCGGCGTCGCTGTCGCGCGTCCCTTCCAGGATACCCGTCAGGATCTCCGACGGCAGGATCGCACCGCCGGGCGACAAACTCTCGAGCTGCCACGGGTCGGAGAACTCCGGCGAGACTGCGAATTACGCGGAGGCGGAATTTATCGAGCGAAACGACGTTCCGCGCGCCGTTCGCCAACGACCGGCCGCGGATTCGTTGCACCTGCAAGACTGCGAGGATTCTTCGCCAAGACCGCGGAGCCAGGGCGTCGGAGGCGCGAACGTCGAAGACGCGCTCGCGCTGGACGACGAGACGGAGTTGGACGATCGCGCGCCTGGAAGCTTCTTCTCCTCGAATCTATGGAGCTCGCGGAGCACGCCGTTTGGCGACAACAGTTACGGCGGAACGTGGTGTCCACCTGGGAGCGGATTTCAGGGAGAAGGTTGTCCACCTGTTGTGTTCTCCCGCGGAGCCGCCTACTCCGCCGGTCGAGATTACGCGAGGATCGGCGACGACGCGCGCTCGAGATCGGGTCGCAGCAGCACATCCCGGAAGAGCGCGGACACCGCGGACGTGACGAGCGCTACCGCGTCGCCGAGGCGCTCGTCCAGGAGGTACGGGAAGACCGAGTCGTTGAGAAACGTGGAGGAGAACGTCACTTGGAGAACGGAGGACGAGTGTGCGTCGATTCGCGACGAGGAGAATCCCGAAGACGCGCCGCCGGCCAAGGATTGCACGGCGCGCGACGAGACGCCGGAGGAGCCGGCGACGGGAGGAACGTGGCGCGATGATCCGAGAGCGCGGCAATTGGATTCGCCGGCGGAGACGCGGCAGGGCGGTAGGAAGCGACGCGCCGGCGACGATCTCGAATTTAACGACGGCAAGACGAGTCCCGAGCTGAGTCCGGAGATGACGAGGGTCGCGCAATCGGAGGACCTGACGTTCCAGGTGCGCAGGACGCGGGAGCTGCCCAGCTTCGCCGCGCGGCTGTCCTCGTCGACGTTGAACTTGAACTGCGAGCCGAGGGGGAAGAGGACGAGGAAGAGCCAGGAACGCTTCCCCTTCACGATCGCCGAGGCGTCGGCCGCGCTGTCGGCGAGACGCGAGGACCGCCGGTCGCCCGGTGAAGAGGCGAACGATCAGCTGCGAGGGAAGCGCGTCCGTCAGCTGAGAGCGCATCCCAGCGTGACGAGGCTGGCCGCCTCGGGCACGGAGGACACCGTGGCGGATATCCTGTGCTGCGTCGCGCAGGAAAAGAAGGTGGCGAGCGCGACGTCTTCCAAGTCCAAGATACGGGCGCTCGTACGGAGTTTGTTCTCCTCGAAGCTGAGAAGAGCGTCGTCGGGGCGGCCGCGACCGGCCGAGATCATTTACGAGAACGACGCTTGTCGGGCGGGCTCCAGGGGAACGAATAGCTGCTCGGGCGACTCGTCGACGGAGGGAGCTCGCAGGACGTGCTCCAGCGACCGTTGGCCGGAGCCTCGTGCCGCGGGATCGAAGCCCGCGCTCGTCCCCTCGTGGGAAACCCTGCGGAGGACGGAGAGCCTGCGAGCGATCGCTCGGGAGCGCCTTCACAGACGCTACGATCGGGACGACCTGTGGGTGCAGGACGTCAAGGATTCACCCGCCGACGGCGAGACGCCGCGAGGAAAGGACAGGGCGGGCGGATCGAGGGAGGCTCCTCCCGCCAAGGATCCATATTCGATTTTCCTCGCCAAGAAACTCCAGCCCGACGAGCCGTCGACGTCCGGCTCGCCGGAGGAGCGGCGCGACGTGCCAATTTCCGATCACGTGACGACGCACGGGAACGGCGAACGGAGTATCGACCGTCAGGCCCCGCCGAATCTCATCTCCGAGGCTGAAGAAACGGAAGAGGAGCTGACCGATTGCCTCTGCTGGAGGCTGTGCCGCGTAATCGCGCCGTTCGCGCATCGCTCGCCGATAAGGGAGCGAGCGCCGGCGACGAGGACGAGGGGATTCTTCGGTTCCCTGCTGCGGAAAAGAGAGAAATGAGACAGATGTCCCCGAGGTACGGGCGTACGGAAGGTAAATTGCAGCCCGACGACTCGGAGGGAGACGCCAGCCGGCAACGGCCGGTTCTTCATTGTCGACCGAGAGGAGGTATCCGCTATCGATACACGCGCGCAAGTGCTTTTCTACCCTTTTTTTTTATTCGTTCGACATCGTTATATAAAAAAGATCGCCGCGTTTTCGCGCGGCGGAGCGTTTCGTCAGTTTTGTACATATACAGAATTAGTTTGAGTCAGAACGTAACAATTTACATTTATCAACAACCTGGTGTAATTATAGCGTGTCCCTTGTGTACAAATCTCCTCGGAACGGCCCTCGCCGGTGTCGCGCACGCGCGCCCGATCGGCGCGGGAGGAACGAGAAAATTCAATTTCGGCCGGTCCGCGCGATCGGCCGAACTGGGGGGGGGGGGGGACGGGTGCTGAGAGTACTTTTAGGATCGTCACGAGGATTGATAACCGGAGAAGTGGCTTCGGTGGCACGTAATCGAAGCCCGTCGTCGATTCATGTCCTTTATTTATTCGCCGTTCGTACATATTTCACTTGTTTCTCAATAATAATTGTTACGTGCGCCCGGAAGTGTGTACGTGGGTGTATGCGCGTGTAATTGTGTTGTACTCGTTAACTTCCGCACGGCCATGTTTATACACGAGTAAGAGTCTTTGCCGTAGATGCGCAATTATCGCAGTTTATCGCCTTAATAAAACGTTTTCTTTCGCTACGCATTAACTTATTATCATTATTATCGTTATCATTATAGAAAAAATAAGTCTTTAAATAATCACATAAGAGTCGTCGAGAGCCTTTCGTGAGGGGAAAGAACGGGAGGGGGGGGGGGAGGACGAGGATCGCGACACGTGTATGCATTCGCGCTCATGCGTGTGCGTGTGCACGCGTGATAAACGCGCGCACGTGGTACGAGGTGTATATAGCACATGTCGTGCGTGTGCGCGTGTGAAAATATACATGGACGCATGCACGACGATGGGACGGCGAGGAGGAGGAGGAGGAGGTGGAGGGGGGGTAGGGGAAAGGATAAGGCTGTCGCTTGAGAAGTAACGCTGTTGGCCCTATACGGTACGATCGCTTTCCGGCCACGTCGGGAGCGACGTAGAGCCGCGCGGTGCGCTAAGCCTAGAGAAAGATCTATCTACCGAGAAGACCAGTCGTTTTTTTTTTCGCGCCTCTCCTCTCTCTCTCTTTTTAAACCCTTTTCGTTTCCTTAGGACTACAGAGGAACGCGACAATTACATTCGTTATTCCGCTATCAAGGGAGGGCATTATTCGATTCGATCATAGGTCGAGGGGGGAGCGGAGGGACGAGGGGGGGAGGGAGGGATGACAAGGTAAGGGGAGGGCGGTCGACGGCCGCCGCGCGTAAGAGCGTAAAGAAAATCGACGCTAAAGGCAATGCGTTTCCGCGATCCACCTCGAGCGCACTCGTCTGTGTCTCTCTCTCTCTCTCTCTCTCTCTTTCGTCCTATCTATCTACCTTCGTTTCTCCCTCTTTCTCTCTCTCTCCCCGTCGTCGTCATCGCCGAGAAAGGAAGAGAAGCTCCGTCCGCCGGCACATGCCTCGCATACAATCGCGCACCTCCACGCGACCGCATGCGCGTTACGTGCATCGGCACGATACGCATGCGTGCTCGACGTCAATCATACATCACGACGCTCTCTCTCTTTCTCCCTCACCCACTCTCTCCGTCGCTCGCCCGTCCGCGTCGTCGCGTCTTCGAGTTTTACCGAGTTGCCCCGCAAACCCGGCCCTGTCGAGTAATTAAGATCCGCGGCCGCGCGCGTAGCGGGGCATCTCGGTAGAGATGAACGTGTATTTATAAAGCGACAAGATCGCATATCTATACATATAGATATAATAGATACTACGGGAAAAAGGAAATTAACTATTTTCTAATCAAGGAACCCCGTGAGAAAAAAGTAAAGTATAGAGAAAAATGATTAAGAATCCGTTTAGGAGAAAAATAACGCGCGATTTGAGAATGATTCGAACGTGTCGATGAAATAATCGCAAAATAAAGCAACACTTTCCAGCGCAGTAATCATGAAAGAAAAAAAAAATTCTAGAAATCACAATTTCGATCTATAATCGAAACAAAACGATCCGAAAAGAAAAATTCCTCTATGCTTTTAGGCTGCATCTATAGACGCAGCGAGTCGCAAGCCGCGAGAAATCGGCCGACGACAGTCGATTAGTCTTGTCATATTTGGCCGTGATTGGTCAATTTCTTGCGGCTTACGACTTGCCGCGTCCACTGTAGGTTCAGCTTTCGAGCGGAGAGGCTACGGCATCTCCAACGGAAGGAAGAGACGCGGTGAGAAAGATCGTGAGAACAATCTGCAGCGAGATACGATACGGTATCAGCACGCGCGCTCACACACGCTCCGTATCGGTCGACCTTTCTTCGACGGACATCGAGCTAATTTAAGAGCTGCACGATTTTAATCATCTGATAAAGCGCGAGGAGGGACGCGCTCGTGCGATTAACGTGCGGCGGAATTATGTCTGCGGCCGGTTATCCCAATCGCGTCTCAAAGGTCGTCGTGTGCGGCTTGTCGAGGCGCGATAGCGAAACGCGGACGAATTTACGCTTCTAACAAGATTGTACGATTTGGCAACAATGAGCAATCATGGATATAATATATATATATATATAATATGCGATAAGCGGACGAATCTTCGTCTTCCGATCTCTCGAAGCGCTCGAGGCGCGATCTCTCTTCCGTTTCGTTTGCTCGCTTCGAGATTCGCAAGGAACGTTCGCTCAGTTCTCTTTCGTTCGCTCCACGTCGTCCTGATCGTCGTCGTCGTCCTCTTCGTCGTCATCTAGGCTCGTGCTGCCGGGACGGGGCTTCTTATCGGGGAAACGACGTCACAAGGGGGGTGGAATGGAGAATTCCCTCCGCACGTAGAACAGAATGTAAGGCTTGCATTTAGCGACGGCGTCGGTAGTCGCGGGCCGTACCGAGCTGTCGTTAAAATGGAACCACTGGCCGTCATGCACGGCGAAGGCAGTGTAATGTCCAGTACCGGCACTGCAACACATCATTTTACAATGTTAAGACAATGTTGCGACGAGTCCTTCGGAGAACAACAGTAACAAACGCCTCCATCTCCTCGAAGCTGCACACGTTTCTGCGAAATTAAGCTTAAATCTCGCGTATTTAAAGATCGGAGTATTTAATCAGCCTCGAAGATTGATCAAATAGCATACAAGTTCATGTAACAGTTTTTCTTGTTCGTTTTCGAAAACAAGAATGTAGCTGCGTCACAGCGCAATTTAACAATTGCTAAATACACTCCGTGAGAAACGAATAATATTTCAAAATATAGACGATAGGATAGACAATGGCCATGTTATCTTATCGCGTATCGACGTTGCGCGATAGTCGCTACTATTGCGAGGAGAGTCTCAGCCGTTTTGTTTCCATCGCCGGGCGGCCGGTTTAATTAGGAGCGTCATTCGAGGGAGAACGTACCCAGAACCATGGTGCACGATAACGGCAGCCAAGTCGTAAAGATGACTATTCTGAGCGCCCAATCTCGTCCCGGTGACGCCGCGCACGGTGAACGCGGACATGTCGAGAGACTCCATCGGGAAATCCACCTGCGTGTCCACCTTCGAGCGATAGGAATTGCACCACCTAAATCTTTTAATGTGAAGGCACAACACCTGCGGAAAGAGCGAGAGCAACGTGTGAGCATCGATCACCGGCGTTCTACATCCTGTACTTCACCGCTCGATCAAAGTTCCCCCCTTTCGGGTCACGTTCGTTCGTGCGGGAACCATATCGATCGGGACACGCATGTCCGCGAATAAGCTGACGTTGAGCGAAATTAGAGCGTACGTCGGAAAACAATTGACGTACATTGGAAAGGAGACGCGACGAGACAGACCTTAAAAATTAGAAACCTTTGAATCTGTTTGCATCGAAACTCGTTGAAGGTAAAATCCCAAGGCGAGCGCTTTTACTTCCGCTGCGTGGGTGTCTCGGAAGAGAAAGAAAAAACACGCGAACGATACTCACGTTAGGCAGCCTGTGTATCCAGAACCTCTTGGTAGACCTCTGCTTGCCCATGCAGTTGTCGCAGAAGTAGAGCTCGCTGTCGGCCAGCTCTTCGACCTTGAAGAATCTCGTGAGACTGTAGGTCAGACTGCACACCTCCTCCTGCTCCTTCGTCCTGCTCCTCTGCAGTCGGTCCGGTATGTCCAGCGAGAGGTCCTGGAAGGGCTCGTGCGTCTTCGAGTCCGTACGACAGTTCATACAGTGGACCTGCGCGAGGAAACGCGATCCATAATTCGTCCGCGCTTCTCCCAAGAAGAAAACGAAGAAGAACATGACTTTGGCAAAGCGGCACCACAGTCTCTCGAGAGCGCAGAAATTCCCTCCGTGCCAAAGAGGCTGCGAGGACGTTCTTTTCGCGCGCAATCGAGGCTCGCTGTCCGGTTAAACTTACCACGCTAAGAAGAGTGCCCCCGAACACGGCAGTGACGATGCTCTGCTTGCCGCGCAATCCCAGAGGCTCGTGTCCCAGCCTGGGCAGCAGCTGCAGCAGCTCGGTGTGCAGCCGGTCGAGCATGTAGGTGAGAAATTCGTGGGCGTCCTGCTGCTGGTAGCCCCGAAATCTCGGCACGACCTTCCAGATGGCCAGGAACAGGCACTCGGGCGATATCGCCTGGCCGTTGGAGCCGCCCAGGCTCAGGCCGAGCAGCACCTTTCGCAGCTCCTCCGCGAGCAGAGCGTCGCTCATCGACATCTCCTTCGCGCGGCCCGGCGTGACGATGCGACCGCGGTGAGTGGGCGGCCCCGTCGACTCGTCGAAGGCGATGCCCTCGAGACACGGCATCTGCGTGAGGTACTCGCAGAAGTGGCTGATGTTGTTGAAGGACTGCAGCACCACGTTCATGAAGCAGGTGTTACCGAGGTTCCTCAGGCCGACGACCTTTTTCTCTTTGGTACTCTTGGAGCTGCGCCGCTTGGCCGGCCGATTGTCCGCGCTGCTGGCGTCCAGCGAGTGTAGCCTCTTCCGCGCCGTCCTCGGCCGTAGGTTCCTCACGACCACCTCCGCCTTCCACAGGGCGTCCGGGTCGTCATTGTCGTGGTCGTCGCCGCCGCCGTCGCGCGTCCTCGACGACGGGGGCGTCGTGGGCGGCGACGTGCTCCAGCTCTCGTCGTTCTCCTTGTGCTCGTCCTTACGAAAGGTCACGCGCCGTATCTTCTCGATCTGCCCGCTCGTGGTGTCGTTCACCACGTATTCGTCGCAGGTGTAACTGCAACAAGCCAAGCCATGCATCTCTCTTTTTCAGGACCGGAACCAGCGATAACATCCGTATAGTCGCGTCCCGTGAGGAAGTAAAATTCTACATTTTTATCAGCGATCTTATCGGGTATCATAGACATAAATCTCGCGACGATGGCGAGACGCGCAGATTCTCGCGTGTCTCGTCGCGTCGGAAATTCAGTTCTTGGAAATTACACCGGTTTCGACGGAGGCAAGATAGAAAGGGAGGAGACTCACCAGAATACTGCCAGGCTCTCACAGTCTATGCACACGCAGTGCTGAGTATTAGTCTCGTAGTGCTGCAACGCGTGGCCCGCCACGTACCGTCCGCAATGCACGGATCCGCAGTGCAGACAGAGCCAGGGACTCTTCTCGGTGCCGCATACTGTACACGAGAATAATACAACGTGAGTGACAGTCGCAAAACACAAGCTCGATCGATTATCTGCGATATCAATAATGAAATAGAGAGATTGGCGAGCTTGCACGCGTGGAGATTAAATCTGTGACTCTATTAAAGTCCCACGAGTGTGTAAATATAATCAAATCTGGACCGGCGAGATTATTACGTTGACGATGTCTCTACCGTCTCTTCGATTTCCCGCATCAAATTAAAAAATTACAATTTCGTTCATGCATCCCAAAGCACTTTTGTCCTGAATTATCACCACGTTTGCTTTCGTAGGTGTAAACGTACGGAAATGTGACGGAAGTTAAAGACTGAAGGTATTTTGATGGAAATGCGGGTGAAACTTCAGGTCAGGTTCAGTCGGTTCACTTCATTCATTCAATATTAACGTATTCGTGTGCGCTACTTAATAGCATCCTCCTAAGATATTTTACGAACAATTGTGGCATGCAGAGGTGTAAATAGCGATTGTCGTATCCTGTACTTCTATTATCAGCAATATCGCTTTAGCTTCATATCGTACGGTTGAAAGTGACGTGTCTTATTCTTATCGCAATTACAACGAACTCAGTCGTTTTACAGATAAAATTTGATACGATATAACCGGATAATGCCGAATTTTGGGGCTAGGTATAGAGATCTACAAAATTACCTGTTTTCTGAATTTTGGCATAATTAATAAGAAAAACTTCAGAAGATTACTTGACCATGTCTGGCAAATTTTTATGTTTAAACTCACAACGTTTTGACATTCACAACGTATGGTCGTGTTCTGTCGTTCGTGAAATTAAGATCAGTTCTTTCGATTTACCATACGGATTTACTGACACAATTATCACTTGAAAAGGACCACAAACCATGGTCGAAACGTAGTGAGTTTAAGCATAAAAATTTGCCAGACATGGTTAAGTAATCTTCTCAAGTTTTTAATTACTTCTGGCGACTTATTAGATTTCCTCCAGTCGTAATTAATAAGAGCTCTGATCGAGGGGTAAAATTGTGGTGTACAGATTTGCGGTATTACTGGGCATTACTAGGCATTACTAGGCATTTTTTGGGCATTAGTTTGGACATTAGGCCTTGCTGGAGCATTATGAAGGTAAACTAAGATAAAATAGTAAGATAAAGTAATGCCCACCGGGCATTAGTGGACAGTTGTACAAGATTTTGGTCAGCGGTTTCCTCCTCGGCTCTGACGCTTCTCCGAAAAGACATTCTTAGTTTTTAGAAGACTCTTGCAAAAAAAGAGAAGTCTAAATATAAAATGCTATAATACTATGCAATTGATCTTTTTTTTTTCTTTAATGAGGAAAGAGGTATGCGCTCTAATATTTTGAGATAAAATTCTTGCTGCCCCGAGCAGATTTCTGACAAAAAGCACGCAAGGAAACGTGGACAATTTTCATCCGCTGGATGAAAAATTGCCGGAATTTTTCCGATATTTTCCAATCGCTTTAAATTAGTAAGTTCATAAACGATTTTTCAAAAGCTATCTGGAACTTGGAAGAAATTATCAGATCCATAAAAAGATCTGTCACACTTATGCTTGTTTCTTTCAATGCAGATTAGCTTACTCTATGTCTTTCTCTAGTTTTAAAAATTAGAAAAAGATAAAAAATCATTTAAACCAAGATTGAAGTTAATCTGCATTGGCAGAAACGGGCATTAGCCACTCGAAAAGCTTCCATTTCACAATTTTTCGCTTTTGTTTCTATCACCTCATATACTAATCACAAGAACTCTTCGAAATTACAGAAGCCCAGATATTTCTTAAAAAAAGCGAAGCCTAAACTCTATCAATTATATCGAAATTCCGTTGAATATTAACTTTATAGGCATACGTAAGTTTTGTTATCCGCGACAAGCTTTCAGTGCGTGGCGTATTACTTTTTCTCGAATAATTGTCAACACTCCAGCACGATCATCGGACCGACAACCATCCAGTCGCAGGGTGTATGTATCTGGTGGTTGCGCGAAATTGCAAGTCGGCACTGCCGTGTCGTTTCGGCTCGTCTCAGCTTACGTAATTCTCGAGAGCCGCGTAAAAGGCGGGGTGCGGTAGCGAGCACAGGTTCGACACACCCCTTTCGCAGCCGATCGATCGCAAAATGTCTCAGAATTTCATCGGGCTTCGGATTCCCGGTGATTCGTGCGCTTTTCCTAAGCCAATTCTTACCCGGAAAACATGAATTCACCGTCACCGATGTCAAGAGAGGAGGAATGCAGTCTCAAGCTGATGAATTTTACAGTTATACGCAAACAAGACTTATTGTTAGACCAAAATAACAAAGATATTTTTAACGATTGCTAGGCCCTTCCACGTATTCCGCGAAAGTCCGTTTTGGAAAAATTAAAGTAATAAGATTTGTTAGGATCCAAAATTAGAAGTAATAAAGAAAGCAATTTATACCCTCCCAGTTTCCGAATGAGAATAAGATTCCCGATGTGGAAGCTACAAGAGACGAGCGATGGCAGAAATGATAAAAATGACGAGCGCTCGGAACCGGGCGGCTGGAATCCACTGATTCAGGAGATCGGGAGGCGGCAAATCCGTCAGCGCTTTACGCATGCAAAGCGTATGCGGACGGATTCAAGTTCGCACTCGAAACTTGCCGTAATCTCTCTCTCTCTCTCTCTCTCCGAATTTTCCCCAAAGCGTGTCATCCTGCAGCATTCTCGCGCGAAAGAGGTAAAGGGGAGACCTTTCCCTAGGAAGGAATTTAAAAAACGCGAACGCGTGAAAAGTGAAACGCCGAAAGTCCGTGCACGGAAATCCGATCTCGCCGAAGGTCATTTCTATCTGGGGAGTCGTGTTCGTTTTCGATGTAGGAAGCCTTAGAACATACCGGGGTGCCCTATCGGCACGTTTTAATCAGCGACTCGTTGCCATGAGAGCCTCGTGGCGAAGAATAGGAAGGAGTGAAATCGAATAGATTCAGTTTGCGATAAAAATCTTACTTGGAATTGGCATGCTTTCCTCAAAGATTGCTCAAATAAAAATCTATTCTATTGCAACTCTTCATTAGTTTGCGAATATATTTTGAATGATTATTTTTCCGTCGACGGAAAATTTCGTGATTAATCGATATATCGTTATAGAATTATATACGTTGAAGTATAACTGTTTGAAATAATTTTTCTAATTCTTCAAAAAATTGCCAACAGCAAACGAAGGGCAGATTCCTAAGCAGACAATAGTCCACGGACGCTGTTTAATATTGTACACGAATTATGTAATCGCGGGAAAACGTGGCATTTTGAAAAATTTTATGAGTTTTTTCCAATTTTACCACACATTTCGCTAAGCAATTACGTTTTACTAGTAAAATTTCAAAAATTCATAAAATTCTTCAACACATGATTAAAATTTTAAGACAAAATTCCCTCCGTGTAAATATAAGTTATATCAATGCGGTGGATGACTAGTAAATATAACTGTTAATATCGCTATCAAATCAATAATGCCGATGCATACATTTGCAGGCAACAGTGGATGCATAAATAACGAGTGCGGTCTGATTTCGCCGATTAAAATTAGTTACAGAAGATACGAATTAGGGTTCACATCGTCCGACCGAAATCACAGCTCCAACATTTCCTACGCGGAGAGAATTTTCTCTTCAAAATTTATCCTGAAAATCACTAGTAGAATATAAAATTTCAAAAATTCACAAGTCTTCAAAATGCCACGCTGTCCCGCGATTACATGATTTTCAGGGTGAACAAAAAGAATTCTCTCCGCGTACCGGAGCACGGATACAGAAGGAATGTTGTTTAGCGCACTATGTTATTGCTGATGCCCGCCAGAAAGTAAATCGCTGTCGTCGGGACGACGTGGACGGGCACGGCGAGTGCAGCTGCGAACGTTCAATGTGTCATCGCAGATAACGAACAACGTAACGAGGAACGTTATCGGTCGAAAAATGCCTAAACTTTTGCGGCGACAATATACGCGATGTCGTTCGCACAGCGACATTCGTTCATTCATTCAATGCCCGCTTGTTCAATAAAACGATCTAGCAGATCCTAGCGCGCGCGCGGATGCTCCTCGTGGATCGCCGGGGTGACTTATTGCGAGCGATGTAACAACGACGAACAAGAGGGAAGTGATTAAATAACAAAATCTTATTACTTGTGAATAGACCTTGTCTCTTTGTCATTTCGTCGTCGAGAGCCGAGTACAAAGTCTACTCGAAGCGCACGTTAAAAAGAGCCACGAGTATTGCACGATAAATTCTTTTAAAGTGTTTGAAAAAAGAAATCGCCGTCAAATCTTGTGTAGAAATAAAATTCGAAATGTCGAGACAGATCGTACAGGAGCGTCTTGTACTCTGTTAAAGTCCATCGGTGCACTGTAACTGCGAATCAACGAATATTCACTGTTTTCAGTGATAATCCACCGGTTGACTTTTAGAGAGTATGTTTCATAATTGAAGTTAAATGCAAATTTTGCTCTTAGATAAGAAAAGTCTTAAATTTACAGCAAATTATATAACGTATATACGATATATAATCCTTTTACTCCGAGTTCGGAAATCTTCGTTATCTATTACGATAATATTACATTCACAATATTCACGATACGCTGCTTGACATTCATTGAACCGTTCGTACAGGCGGAGAGGAACGTGGAAATGTACACACAGGTAACACGTGAAGATCATCGCTCGCGTTGTAAACACGCAAATCACGGATATTCGATCGCAAATCATCGAGGAATCCTCGAGAGAAGCAGCGACACGGTCGATGATTAAACCCCGAGAATTATTTTTGGGAATTGCGTCAGCGGGCGCGGAGATGCACGGGCGTCAGCGACGGACCAGAAATCGAAGGTCTCGATCGCGGGGCCGCGTCGATTGTCGTCAAGGCGCGAGGAGGAAATGCCTACGCGAAGAAACACACGCCAGATAGCTTTCTCCCTCTTTATCTCATTACGTAATGTTCGATTCCGTCACGTCGATGACGTCGCCGTTGCT